ATATATATATATATATATATATATATATAAATTCAAATGTAACGAGAACGAAAAGAATATAAATTCAAACTTTCATAGCATTAATTTAAAAGTGGGCTCAATACCAAGAGATGTCGAGATGCGTTTGCATCGAAACAAAAGTGCATAAATATATAATATATATATATATATATATATATATATATATATATATATATATATATATATACGAGGGTCGGTTAAACGGTTTATAGCCTCCAAAAATGCTCCAAAACAAATAAATGCTCCAAAACAAAGTTTTATCAGCAAAATCTTGATATTATTAAGAAAAAAGACCAAAGGATATTTTAATGATGAAATTATATTTTTCAATTCTTTTTAGAACCTTCGATGCTTCCCCGAATGTTACAATGTTAACCTCTTCAAGTCAATCGTTACCTATCTTCGATATCTACATACTTGTCACTTCCTACTTCCAACGCTTACGTTCATATAACAAGCATCATTCAGTAATCCTCTACTTTGAGTGTCTCTCGAGCCATGTACTTATCAACACTAATCCCCCGGAAAATCTAATTCCGGTCGAGCACTCCTGAGAGAAAACGCGAATTAGTAAATAATGACTACTACTGCTAATACTGCAAAGCTCTTCTGTGAATTGATCCCTCTTGGTCATTGGCGGGTTTATTCGAAGAATAAGCATGTAAAAACCCGCCTTCCTCTCAACCTGGTGCTGATAGCTCAGGAGTAAAATCTCTGACTGATTCCAAATCAGTCGGGTTTCGATCCCGGCTTGAGGCAGTCGGATCTCTAGCCACACTGATGAGCTGTGATACAGCAAAACACTCTGTCTGTGGATGACAATATATATATATATATATATATGTATATATATATATATATATATATTAAGAAATGGACAAAGTTCGACAATTTATTTATTAAAGACATTTTTATGTTTAACGTTCTTTTTATAGATACAAGTATTTAAGTAAATATTTAAGGCCGGTAAATGTTATTTAATACTGTTTATTATAAACAGAGCATTTACTTAAATACTTGTATCTATAAAAAGAACGTTAAACATAAAAATGTCTTTTTATATATATATATATATATATATATATATATCAATCACATGTTTCACATATCAATCACATGTTTCAGTGTTATTAAAGTTTCATCAAAGATATATATATATATATATATATATATATATATATATATATATATGTATGTATGTATATATATATGAGTTGGGATCAAAGACAGATGAAATATGAATACGATAGAATGATGAGATAAAGAAATTAATTTTTAATTCCTTGGAACTTCAAATGGACGCGTTGTCTTTCCTTGAATTCGGAACGTTTGTTTAACAAGTCAAATGCAGGTGAAACATGATTAACCAATAAAAATCAAACCACACTAAATTAAACATACCTGAAATTCTTTTTTCTTTTTCTCTATATCTTAGTCTTTGATGAAAGTTTAATAACAGTGAAACATGTGATTGATATGTGAAACATGTGATTGATATGTGAAACATGTGATTGATAAACGTTTCCTCTTTGTTCTTTATCTTATCATATATACAGGGTGTATCAAAGATACTTTTACAAATTTTAGGATTAAGTTCCTCACACCAAAAACAATGACAAAATTTCATATCAACATATGTCTGCAAATCCTTTGTTTTGGGGTTATTAAGTTTAAAGAAATATATTATAGTAGATGGTGCTGTGTTGTCATGTAGCCTCGGTTACATTTGTCATTCGTGTACATTTATAGCTAATCTGTCTTCAGCGTTTAACATGTATAGCAATGAGTTAACTGAGAAGTGTTCCATTTAACAATGGCAGGACATTCATATCGTAAGCAGGCAGATATGATTTTTACATACAGCCGCGCAAATGATAATTGACGCGAGACTGTATTGGTGTATCAGATTTGCGTTTTCAGGCCGAAGGCAGCCGAGTCAGCCAATCTTTGCCGCTGTTCATTTCGTGTTTCTGGAACAGGATCCGTGGAACCACAAACTATGGTAATATGTATTTTTGGATTGTATTTTGGATTGTACATTTAACAGCGTCTACCGTAAACTTTAAACTTAATAACTCAAAAACGAAGGATTTGCGGACACATGTTTATAGGGACTTTTGCGTTTATTTAGTGTGAGGAACCCGCCCCAATGTTTGTAATTGTATTTTTGATACACGCTGTACGTATGTATAAATGGTGGACTCTCCTGTCGTATGAGGGTTAAGCATCTCAGTTCCTAGGAACTGACAGGCCAGACACCAGTACATATGATTTGATTAAAGTGGTGAAAGCCTTTGCGCAGAACAAATCACACTTTTTGAAGGGCCGAATACAGAGACCTGGTGCACTACGTGCCACAAGCTCCCCAAACGATGCTCTGCAGGTTTTGAATTCAGAGTTGTCCTTTTCCTGGACCAGTTGCCATTCAAGGCTATAGAACCCAGTCTGTCCTGCTATTTACCCCTAGCTGGAGGAAAAAGAGGAGGATTAATACCTTTCCCAAGGGTATTAGCACGTAAGTGAATGTAATGTATTCGACTGGAATTCGAACTCGCTCCTCTCTCTCTCTCTCTCTCTCTATATATATATATATATATATATATATATATACCATTCATGAAAATAATAAACATAAAATAAAAATTCTTGAAGCTACCTATATTAAAAATTTGAAACCAACCCTTAATAAAATTAATTATGAATATTACACCAATGTTTACAGTAGATAACTTAAAATATCTAGGTTTTAACTTATAGTTTTAAAAAGTTTTTAAATTTTAGGTATTTCATGACTTAGCGCGCCTGACTTTTACATCATAAAATTTAAATCATACAGCACATAACCTTAGCGTTTTTCACTTCACAAGTAAAAAAATTAACTTTCAAATGAACACAACAATTTTGACTTAGAAAAATGATGAACACAATAATTTTCGTCTTAGAAAAACAACACCCTGATGATGACATTGTGCTAATGTCGAAAGTACTAGGTATAAATGAATATGTATCAACATGGTAATTTTCTCTCTTCCTTTATTAAGGAAACTAAGAAGTTTGTCCGTGAATATGATAGGATCCTATTGAAAATAAGTTGACAAAACTTGTCTAAATTACTGAATGAGACATGTCTTATATATATATATATATATATATATATATATATATATATATATATGGTTGTATATTTGGGCAGCAATCTCTCCTTAATACATGTTTTATTAAATAAGATTGACAAGCTACATTTAACGAGTATGTTTTGAAAATGTCATTTTTCTTCTCTGTGAACGAGTGTTTTCTTATCTAGATTTAATCAGCGCAGAAATTGTACACATGTTTGACTCCGATCGTTTTCGGTTAATCTCTTAGCTGTTTTTCAAGGATTTTAGTCATGATAAATGGAGTGTTAAGTGCTACTTGAAAAAGTGATAACCGCCAATAACGATCTGCATGTGAGTGTCTATCTATTTTACTTTAAAGTATTAATGACATTAATAATTACAGTGATTTTGTAGCATTTGTAATGCTTGTTCGTATATTAAATTAAAAGCTAATAATTAAACGGTTTGTCTATTGTGCGTTGATGTGGTCAGAGTCCCACGAAAGCTAATATTTTAATAGACTCATTAGTCAATTATCATTGCATGTATATGAAAGCCACAGTATTAACATATATATATATATATATATATATATATATATATATATATATATATATAATTATAAATGCTTTTACAAGCTCTATGAAATTACGAATTTAAATCAATGTACAGATTTGCACGATTTTATATTAAGAGTGAACAAAGAATCCTAGCTACCAGGTTTTTGAAAACTAGTGAACTGAGAACAGGCAACGATTTTGTTTTACTAATACTACTACTGCTACTACTACTACTACTACTGCTACTACTACTACTACTACTACTACTAATAATAATAATAATCCTAATAACCCGTCCTCGGTATCACGATAAACGGCACCCGACAGCAAGGCCCCTGGTCGGGAGGTTTTGAGGAGCGTGAAACCACCTCTTAATTGCTGTTGTTCCCAGGTTCACCCTGACCCGGGGTGGTAGAACCTGTTAGGGTCCCAGCTACGGGCAAATAGTTAACCTACAAACTGGGATCAAAACACTATAAAAGTATAAAAAAATTATAGTAAAATTACCAGCAATACATTTTCATAGCAAAAAAAAAAAAGAAAAATTACCAGCAATACATTCTTGCGAAATTTTTTTAAAAATACAAGCAATCCATTTTTGTAAAATAAAATACTATTGCTCACAGGAAAATTAAATTTCGGCATTACATGACCCATAAAAGTTTATATGTCGCTAAACAAACAAACAAACTACCAACAATAAAAACTAGTTTTAACCTGTGATAATTTCACGGTTTTCCTATTTGAATTTTCAGATGAATCTTAATTCTTAAGTTGATTGAATAAGCACATGGCGAGTTCTACAACAATACAAAATTCCCCTATCGCATCGTTAAATATTTGAGCTTAATAACTTTAACAAAATTTTTTTTGAATTTCGTTATTTTCTACAAAACAAACATTTAAAATTGGTAAATTTTTTTTATTTCTCTGAAACAGACATTAAAGGCTTCTATTTTCTCTTCTTTCTTTCATTTTCTCACTGAAACTAAGTAGCGTCTTTGATATGTCTTTTGCCTTCTCACTTCTTTTACCAGGAGTCGTTAAACACTTCTATCTATCTATCTATCTATCTATCTATCTATCTGTCTATCTATCTATCTTTTTTTCACTGATATGTCTTTCCACGCGATCGAAACGGAATAGACCATTATTAATGGGGCATTGGCAGGGCGTAGCGGTCGTGCGAACTAACAAAGGGAGGGACAAGCACAATTATATAATAATAATAATAATAACAACACGGAACAAAAACCACGTAGAAATAGTGATCACAGATTCGAAAAAATGTGCTTTCTCTTTAACATAGGCTTAAGGTTTCATCACGTTGAAAACACCTGTTCCCGTACGATCACTGAAGTTAAGCAACGTCGAGCCTGGTGAGAACCTAGATGGGTGACCGCTTGGGACTACCAGGTGCTGGTGGTGACATGGATAATGACTCAGAATTTTTAATTGGAGAGCCGAGTTCCAATTCCAGTTGGGTTCGTTATATTCACTTACATGCAAATAACCTTTAGTAAAGGTATGAATCCACCTCTTCTCCCCAGCTATGGGTTAATTAGTAAGCGTTATATCACTAAATCATTATTATCTCAAAAAAGGTTCTTACAATCTAAAACATACTTCCTGGCTTTAAATAACCTGCTAAGGGTTGATAAGCCGTAGAAAACGAATCAATCAATCTTATTGACGTGGCAGTCTCTTCAGACTGTAACATAGCTTTGAAGATCTTCAAAAAACTATCGATATACAAGGATCTTCTTTTTTTTTTTAATCATTTCATCCCTAGGACGGAACGGGTTACTGAGTGTTAGAGAATATGAGAAAAAAACCAGCATTAAGGAGAGAAGACAATAAAAGAACAGCAATTAAGACGACAGTATAACGATTGACATGACATTTAAATCTTTGAAGATCAAAGTGCGAGTCAAGAAAATATTAGCATAGAACTTACGATTGCATCTATAATGATTAGACCTTGCCACCAATCTAGTACAGAGCTTAAATTCATAAAGTCTAGGTTCCATCAGTATGAAAGTATTTCTAGAAAAGGCACAGGGAAGCTACGTTACAGTGGGTGGGAAAGTGAAGGAAGCCGAGGTGCCAGTTCAAGACCAATGGCATTGCAGATTCTGATTTGGATTTTAACAAAAATCTCTAAATATATAGCAGGAGTACCAGACTATATTCAAAGCATGGACGAATGGTAGACTTATAAATATGTAAGTTAGATTCTGGCGAGAAAAATTGTCCAATACTACACAGTGAACCAACTTTCCTAGCAGCAAACCTAGCGATTGATTCAATATAATATTTTCACTTTCCAAATATTAGACTGAGAAGGCACAATGAGTTACTCTGCTGGAAGTTTGCTTCAGCCATGCTGATGGAAAGCGGAAACAGTTCTCCCAGACAATTACAAGAGAGCAGTTTCGTTTTGGAGGCGTTAAAATCTCAATCAATTCTTATTGATACCTTCTTAGCATTCTCAGTCATTTATATTCATCCTGTTAGCATTCTCGATCAATTCGTTTTTATCTTTCTTAGCATTCTTAATGAAATCTTATTTATCCTGTTAGCATTCTCAGTCAATTCGTCTTTATCTTTCTTAGCATTCTTAATGAAATCTTATTTATCCTGTTAGCATTCTTGGTCAATTCGTATTTATCTTTCTTAGCATTCTTAATGAAATCTTATTTATCCTGTTAGCATTCTTGGTCAATTCGTCTTTATCTTTCTTAGCATTCTTAATGAAATCTTATTTATCCTGTTAGCATTCTTGGTCAATTCGTCTTTATCTTTCTTAGCATTCTTAATGAAATCTTATTTATCCTGTTAGCATTCTTGGTCAATTCGTCTTTATCTTTCTTAGCATTCTTAATGAAATCTTATTTATCCTATTAGCATTTTCGGTCAATTCATCTTTATCTTTCTTAGCATTCTTAATGAAATCTTGTTTAACCTGTTAGCATTCTCAGTCAATTCGTCTCTATCTTTCTTAGCATTCTTAATGAAATCTTATTTATCCTGTTAGCATTCTCGGTCAATTCGTCTTTATCTTTCTTAGCATTCTTAATCAAATCTTATCCTGTTAACATTTTCTGCCAATTGATACTCTTCGATTTATCATTCTTTCTCAATTTGCCTTTCTTATCATTCTCTGTTAATGCTTATCTATCTCTTTTACTGTTTTTAGTCTATTCCAAGTTATCTAAGCTGTTCACTCTGTTTATAAACAACTGATTCAGTTTATTTATTTATTTGCAAAAATTATATCAAATTATATCAAGCGTGTGTGATTAAAAAAAAAAAAGCCAAATCTGTCATCGCAAATTAATTTATAATTTATAATTCTCGATCTAACCAAATATGGCTTCCAAAGTACATTCTGATATCTGATTTGGGTTGGGACTCTTCAACGGCGCACATTGGCATGTATATATGCGAGTATAATTTTCCAAATGTATGTTGGTCGGTATGTTCGTTTGCATAGATGTTAGTATATGTATATGTACGCGTATGTATGTGTGTATGGGTAAGCATATTGGATTTCTAGTTGAGGTTAGATGGGTGGGAGATGATTGTCAATCAGGAGAAGCTGTTCTTATGTGTCGCAAATGAAACATTCTTTGGGGCTCACGTTGAAAACACCGGTTATGCGCATGCGTATGTATGTAAAAATTTCAGACAGTATATAAAAGGACAATATAAATAAAGCTAAAAGAACAAAAACACGTCAGCTAAGTTTCCCTTTTGTCTTATTACATACATACATACATACATACATACATACATACATATATATATATATATATATATATATATATATATATATATATATATATATATATTATCACTTTAATCGTTATTTTTAGTAGATACTTATATTTGAGTAGACGGTCCTTTTATTTATTAAACACTATATTTATCTATTTTCATCTACTAGTCTGAATGTTCGAGAAATTTTATTAAAGTAAAAATATGCGTTCTCCTGCAGGCTTCGAACCTACGTCCGCCTAGGCAGGTGGAACCATCGTTAGATCCGACGTGAAAGGGGACGCAGTTTCGAATCCTGTCGGGTAGCGCATATTTTTCTTTAATAAGAATTCTCGAATATTTAGGCCGATAGACGAAAATAAGTAAATATACTGTTTAATAAATAAAAGGATCGTCTACTCAAAATACGAGTATCCACTAAAAATAACGTTTAAAGTGATAAAATATGTCGGATTAATAAATTAAAAAAAAAAACCATTACGAGATAGATCAGCAAGATTATAGCCACATGATGAAAAGCGTAACAAATATATCAGAAAGTAAGGCGGTGATGGTTCTCCACAGTTTCCGTTTCTTTATTATCTGTGAATTACCATAACTTCTTAGAGAAAATAGCGGAGCGTTTTCTTCTCCACAGTTTTGAATTCCGAGTTTTTCACCCAAGGCTAGAGAGCATGATCTACCCTGATATCTCAAAGTCATCTAGTGATATTTAACTCATAGCCGGTCAAGGCTAGAGAGATCAGTCTATCCTGATATTTAACCCATAGGTGGGAGACTCATATATCAAAAGTGCTTTCCTTCTGCTAGACTGATTGCCGCCAAGGCCTAGAGAGCTCTGTCTATCCTGATATTTAATCCATAGCTGGGAGACTTTCATATGCCATACGCGCTTTTCTTCTAGACGATATGATATTTAACTCATAGCCTTCCAGGGCTATAGATCCAAGTCTATCCTGATATTTAAATCCTAGTTTGGGGAAAGGTAAGAAAAGATGGATTCATGCCTTACCTAAGGCTGTTAGTGCGAAAGTGAACGCAGCAGATTCGGTCGTAATTTGAACTCGGCTCTATAATTCCACTTTGTGCGCCGAGACCAATTACATAATCTACATATCTAGATTTATCGAATAGTACACACGCAGTTAGCCAATGCTTCTTTTGTTATAATTTGCTTTAATCAAACAGACGATCCATCAAAGCATTTATTTATTTATTTCGTAAATATGTTGACAAAATAATTGTGGTGCTTTGTGCTAATTTAATTATAAGACAAACAATCGAATTATGGCGGGAATCCGTCGCTGGAAGGAAGTGAACATTCGTTAAAGTGGCAAAATTATGATTCTTACAAGTACATAAGTACTGATACGAACAATGCATTCCTTTCGGCCAACGAACTTCTCGCAGTTGATGATACGGTGAACTCGACTGATGCGGTCTCCTACCACCTTTCCGTTTCTTCTCCTTCTTTGTCTGCTACCGTAACTTTATTTATTTGTCTACTACTGTTTCTTTCTTCTCTATTTTCTGTCTACGAGTATCACTTTCTTTCTTTCTTTCTTTCTTTCTTTCTTTCTTTCTTTCTTTCTTTCTACTACCGTTTCTTTCTTCGCTTCCTCTGTCTATTAGCGTTTCTTTCTTTCTTCGCTTTCTCTGTCTACTACCGTTTTCCTTTTCTCCTTTCTTTCTTCGCTTTCTCTGTCTACTACCTTTTTCCTTTTCTCCTTTCTTTCTTCGCTTTCTCTGTTTACTACCGTTTCTTTCTTCCTTTCTTCGCTTTCTCTGTCTGCTACAGTTTCTTTCTTTCTTCTTTTCTTTTTTTGCTATCTCTGTCTACTACCGTTTCTTTCTTTCTTCTTTGTCTACTACCGCTTCTTTCTTTCTTTCTTTCTTTCTTTTTCTCTGTTTACTACCTTTTCTTTCTTTCTTTTTATTCCTTCTTTCTTTCTTTCTTTCTTTCTTTCTTAGCTTTCTCTGTCTACTACCGTTTGTTTGTTTCTTTCTTTCTTTCGCTTTCACTGTCTACTATCGTTTCTTTTTTTCATTCTTCTATTTCTCTGTTTACTACCGTTTCTTTCTTTTTTCTTTCTTTCTTTCTTTCTTTCTTTCTTAGCTTTCTCTATCTACTACCGTTTGTTTCTTTATTTCTTTCTTTCTTCGCTTTCTCTGTCTACTATCGTTTCTTTCTTTCTTCTCTTTCTCTGTTTACTACCTCTTCTTTCATTCTTTCTTTCTTTCTTTCTTTCTTTCTTTCTTTCTTTCTTTCTTTCTTTCTTTCACTGTCTCCTATCGTTTGTTTCATTCATTCTTCTCCTTTTCTATCTACTACCGTCTCTTTTTTTTACTTTCTTTCTTTCTTTCTTTCTTTTCTTTCACTACCTACTACCTTTTCTTTCTTTCTTGTTACTTATAATATTATTTCCGTTTTCTCTATCTCTCTCACTCTGAAATTCTCCCCCCTCTCCACTTTACTTTTAATAGCACAGATTCTCGCTAATCAGACTCTGTTAACTCTCTCATCTCTCTCAACATAACTGATCTTTGCCTCTGTATATTGGGTGCTCGACACTTGAGAATGGATTTCTCATTTATGTACATTTGGTTGTCTTGCTTTTTTTACTTTTTTAATTGATTATCTA